TCAGGGAAGCCCCAATGACGCCGTGGCGCGCATCTGGGCTGAGCGGGTGGTGGCGGCCGGTGCGCGGGCGCTGCCGCGTGGCTGGTGGCCGCGGCCCTGGCGGCAGCGGCCCGTTCCTGACCCGGTCGCCCTGTGCCGAGCACAGAGCGCCGACTGAGGTCAGTCTTGTGATCGAGCTTCCGCGCCGGAGGTGGAACAGGTGGAGCTGGCGGTCACCTGCGCGGGCTCGGCGGCCTGTAAGCCGTGCCGAGACGAACCGCGACACTCTTGCTAGATCTGCACCCCATTGTAATCTTCTGTAGTCGATATTCGGTAGGTACTCAATGCTCATTTTTCTTATATTAGACGAGTGGCGGGTTTTGATGTTACATTGGAGACTGCTGTCTCGGGTGGCCCGACAGTGTTCGATTGTGGTGTAATGTAGATACATAGACGGGATGCCGCGGCTCGGATTCGTAGCTGGACTACCATGTGCCTGTCGATTGAGATGCTTTGCCTGGCGATTGAGATGATTCGGGGCGCGGCCCCACACTGACGCCATGGTGCAATGAGTGACTGGCGACAACTAAGCAATTATGTACTTTTGTAGAACACATGTTTTAATGGATACGAGAGGCATTCCTTTTTTCGCTAGCAGTCATTTGGTTCACGATACTTTCGATACCGACAAATATGTTCGGGCGGCCGGTCCGTCCACAGCTAATGCGTGCTTGCCCGCCGATGCCTAATGGAGCGCTGTGCTGTCTACGCTCACTGGTCGCTGGCCCGAGAGCCGTTCGGTTGCTGCTGTTAAAACAGTTCTCACAAAAACACGCTGGCTGGCTGCCAGTTCTTCACCAATGAGAGGCCCAGTAGCATCAGCAGGTAGCATTGTTTAATATTACTATTCCATTTTGTTTACCCATATGTCCGACCTAGAGCCAGTCGTCCGACCTAGAGCCGACTGGTAAAAAGCGGCAACCGAGCAGCCCTCCGCAGCGCTGCAGATCATGTACGCTCGATTATACACAATATATGTGTCTTTCTTGCACACAGAGACATGACGTTTTGTAGAGCTGTTATATCGCTTGTGGCTGAAAGGAATATTGTACATTTTAGAGCTTTCATATACGCGAGAAAATATGGTGCAAAAAAAAACATTTATGAAGCCTGTTGAATTTTAAAGGTTGTTGGGGCATTTCACAGACTGTGTCGGTGGGCAGGGCAGCCCGGCCCCGGCCGCCGCCGCCGCCGCCTCCTTCACTGGTATGTGGCAGGGACGGAAGCTTCGTATTGATATACCGGGGTGCAACTCAAGCAGCATATCACCTATCAAACAACCTTCGGTTATGAAGTGAGTGAAAACTAAATATTATGTATAACTGTGATCTGCGCTGCGGTGTTTCCAAAGTGGAGGAAGTACGGGGAGCTGGACCCGGACTCGATGAGCCCTCTACTACGGATCTGGGTCTTCGCAGCTGATCGTCTGTGAATGAGAGATCATATGATACCAATGCATACCGAACGGATCAAAAACAGTGCCATTATATATTTGCAATTCTACAGCTTTACGTAAGCCCATCCTAGTGAATGCATTAATACGCGTTGATTTGACAACTGACATCCGGTTGAAGGCGTTTTTTTTTTTCGGCCAACAGCCGGCCAGCAGTTGTTGCAGGCCGGCCTCGTTGGGAAGCAGGTTCATTTTCCGACAGCCACTGCGTGCGGAAGCACTCTCTGATGGCGCGGACGGCGCGCGCCGGCTCCTGTTTCTGTAACGTGTAGAGGCGGGTGTTGAGCAGCTGGGCGCGTGGCGGGCGGTCCTCGAGCACGCGGAACGCGGCCGGCTGGCGCGGGTACAGGCGCTCCCAGTAAACAGTAGGCCCGAGTGGTGGCAGAGTCGAGCGTCGCGGCGCGGCAGAGCGCGCGGCGCGGCAGAGCGCGCGGCGCGGCCGCCGTCTGTTCCAGCTCGGCGTCGGCGCGCCCCTCGGCGAACAGCAGGTGCAGCTGACGGTCGGCCAGGCAGAAGCCGCTGATGCCAGGTGTGCTGACGTCGCCGTGCCGGCGCGGCGCGGCGCCCTCGGCCGCCGCCGGGCTGGGCGGCTCGTTGAGCTGCTGGATGAGCTGCAGCACGCCGCTGCGCTGCAGGCTGCGCTGCGAGACGACGGCCAGCAGGCGGCCGTAGGCGCAGCGCGCCGGCGCCGGCCGCGGCAGCAGGTCCAGCGGCACGGCCAGCGACACGGAGACGGACAGCTGCGCCGCCGACTGCAGCAGCTGCAGCGGCCCGAACGGCGGCGGACACGTGCCGCGCTCAATGTCGGCCGCCGGAGAGGCAGCCGGTCCGGCCGGCACCGCTGTCAGCGGCACCTCCACACTGAGCAGACGCACGCCGCGCGTCAGGGCAGAGACGTCCACCACCACCTGCCGCGCACACAGAGGGCCGACAGTGGTGACAGCGCGCGGCGGGTCAGACCTCACAGTGGGGATAGCGGCAGCGGGTCAGACACCCTTATAGAACAGCACGGGGCGGAGCCGACAAAAGAGGACGAGGAGACGGTCATACAGCCGACTGAGGTCCGGGCACCGACTGACTCAAAGTGCTGAACATGTCACACATTTCTAAATGGCTTCTGTAGGACGGAATAGTGTCTCTTCCTTCCAAGGCTTACTTGCAGAATAATATGGAAAGACACAATTTTACAAGTTGTGTTTTTATGACATAAGTTCTTTATAACATTTCAACACGCAAACATCATACCTTGACAATTGTTCACGATGAAGATCATGCAGGAACATTTCATATTTAGTCACCCTTGATTATTTTGTTGATAGTGATGCGAAAGGCAAATTACCAAAGTATATATTTGCAATTATTTGAGTTAATAATTTCAACTTTTTTTGTGTTGAAAATTGACTTTTGAAACAATAAAGGCAAATGAATTATCAGTGTCTGGAAAGGTGCAATGCTGAAAGCTTCTTATTACATTCTAATTTATATCTAAAGCTTTGTGATATCCAAACTCTCAGAAATAACCAAGGACGTAACCAAGGAGGGGGGAGGGGCACGGGAGCCATGCCCTCGTGCCCCTTCCCCCCTCGGTGATGGCGATTTTTTTTTTATAAAAACAGCTGTGACACCCCCCCCCCAAAATAGTGGGCCTAATCAGAGAAATTTTCCTTTTTTGGAGGGGGTACAACACTAGGCCACAACCTGTGACCCCCCCCCCCCTGAGCAAAATCCTGGCTACGTGCCTGGAAATAACAAAGCACATCCTATCCTTCCTTTGATGTTGGACGCAAGAGCCAAGTTGCTACGCGCCCTAACCCAAAACAACAACAACATCCTATCCTTTGATGCCACTTACCAGCAGCTTTGCGCACTACCAAACAGCCACCTTTGGGCCTTTGTTGTTCTTGTTTTGGGCATTGTCAGTGGTAACTGGAAATAATCAGACATGATGGTCAGAGTAGGGAATGTGACTACAACAAAAATCATTTCATTCCTATAAAATAGACATGATTTAATAGAAGACCTTCTTCTTAAGAAAGTGTGTCATGGATACCAGCTAATCTGTATGGTATTTATCTCCAGTATTATCATATAGGTATAACAATTATCACCACCCGCCACCATTGAATGTAGGTTTTAGGTTGTAGGTTGTAGGTGGTAGGTTGGGTATCGGTAAAGCTGGTGTCACCGTCAGCGCTAACTGGTAAATGTGTAGATAAAAGGAATCTTAAAAACAATCTAACCTAACCTAACCTTACCTACTGACCTGCAACCTACCTACCCACAACCTACCAAACTAATATACGCTGACAGTGATGCCAGCTTTACCAATGCCGTACGTTGTAGGTTGTAGGTAAGGCTAGGTCAGGTAAGATTATGTTTCCTAATATATTTACTGAGAAGACGGCTGAATGCTCTTGAGACGTGGCTATACATTTACATTTTGTAAGTAATTTTCAGGTTTCAATGAATATTTCCTAGTGGAATGTTTTGAAAACCATTCTAAATGATGACCTTTAGCATTCCATAGTACTTTAAAGCTAATTAACCACATCGCCAATGCTAGGTCACATTGCATGCCTACTTCCACCGGCAGCTCCATGGGATATATGATAGGCAGGGGTAAATGGAATATTTTTTATTAATATTCTTGAAGAAAATTATAGGCATGAAAAGAAGATGATCTGCCTTTGAGATTGATATGTGATGCCTACTTTGGAGGAACATAATCATAATAATTACACAATCATAAAAAATGCAATGTAACCAAACAGCCGCTTATGCCGCAAAATGAGAATCAAGCCAATCACTGAGGACAAACAATTTCAAACCACCAAAACTATATTCTTGCTATTCACCAATAATCCTAAAATAGCGTTCCATGGCCATTATATCCATCTTTCACCCTTACCTTCGACAGATAACTAGCGCCACGGGCAGACACACGGGGCGACAAGTTGTTTACAACCGCTACAGTCCGACGAGTCTATCCTCCTCAAGGCTGATTGGCTTGAGTGTGACGTCATTGCTATGACATCATACAGTAGCTGCGGTAGAGAGTATAAACATAGTACCAATATGTTAAATAGTTTGAAATACTTTTTAGCGAATTATGCACTTCTGGCACCGGTTTTGAAAAGAAAATGGAAAATAATAATGTCAAAATAAAAACCAACGATATCTTCATATTTCAAGAAGGTGGCACTTTTCCTTTAAATCAGAATGACTAAACGAGGTGACGTCACACTAACGGTCGCTCCATGTTGAAGATAGGGCCTTGTACAAGGCCCATTTTCAAATGAAGGGAACGAATTTCTGCAACACCAAGAGGCCGCGGGGGTTGCAACCTAGATAGATAGTGGTTTCTGAACATCGCCGCAAACTTGGCTATCTCAACTCAAACCCCATGTTAAAGGTGGGATAGTCCCTTAAAAAAAACGGTCAATTTACCCCACTCGCCTCTCTACCTCACGCCACGCCCCCCCCCCCCCCGCCCCCCGCCCCGTTCCAGTCTGGACCTGTTCGATGAACCCTCACAGACCAAGTGCGGCCACACGTTCTGCACCGAGTGTCTCCACCAGCTGACCAAGAAGCCGGCGCCCTGCCCGCTCTGCAAGGAGCGGCTGACGAGGCGCAGTTTCGCCGCCGACCGCCAGGCGGCAGCACTGGCCACGGCCGTCCGCCGCCTGGTCGCAGCAGTACAGGAGGACTGTGGCTTCAATGGTAAGGAACGAGTGAGTGAGTGAGTGAGTGAGTGAGTGAGTGAGTGAGTGAGTGAGTGAGTGAGTGGGTGAGTGAGTGAGTGAGGGAGGGAGGGAGGGAGGGAGGGAGGGAGGGAGGGAGTGAGTGAGTGAGGGAGGGAGGGAGCGATATAACTGGGAGACAGAGACTATGTGATTTTTTTTTTTGGTATGAGAATCCGTTTTTTAACAAATAACGTCAATGGATGTTTCCCTGTCTTGGGTCGCAATATGCTTTTAGTCCCCATTCGTTGAGCGCCAGCCCAACTAACCTCCACGACATCTGTCCATCGCCAGTGTCGCCGTCCAAGTTCCGGCCTCGCCCGAGTATCGAGGCTACCGAGACAAACCCTGCGCGTCAGACGGTGGCGCCGGAGACGAACGCGGCGCGTCAGTCCGCGGCGCCGTCCGCCGGCCGGTCCTCCGCAGCCGAGCAGCACAGCTCGGCAGCCGCCGGCGGTAAAAAGGCAGCTGCCAAAAACGGTGAGCACTGCGACCGTGCCGAGCCGCGCTGGGGTGTGGGGCGGTTTTTGGTGGCCGGAGAGGCGCGTTTGGTTAGTGATGGACGCTTGGCTAGTGAGGGACGTTTGGTGACCGGATGGGAGCGTGCGCTAGTGAGGGACGGGGTAGAAACGATCGGCGATGAAAAGTTCCGTTTGTCCGTTTTTTTTTCGCGGTGCTCAGTTTTTGGGTAGTTTAAGGAAGTTGAACTTTTTAGGGAAGTTTTTATGCTGCGTTGATTGCTGGATTAGACTTTTAAAAAGCGGTGGCTCTCTTTACGGTGGAGTCCGTGTTTGAATGAAATTGGTAAGCTTCAGTCAAAGTCTGCAGCCATTAATTACATGCTATTTGGTCCCATCCTACCACCAGAAGCTTTTATATCATCCCACATCCTCCACCCCAGTCCTATATCATTTGATTTTTACATCCTCATTTTAACTGGCAGCTACTCTCGTCTCAGCTCCCCACATATTCCGTACCCTCAGCTGATATCCGGCTGACTGCGTCCTACTCTAACTCTCCTGGCCTCTGGCATCTGACCTCCCCCCCCCCTGCCCCGCCCCTCAGTGCGCACCACGGGCCGGGGCCGCCACCGGCGCTCGCCGCCGCGGCACGTCTACTCGCGCGCGGCGGCCGTCGCAGACGACGAGCTGGACCTCCTCTCGGCCAGTCAGGTGCTCGAGTTCGACGGAGAGCGGGTGGGCGAGTCGCTGGCTCCGCCGCCGCCGCCACTGCCTGCCGACGCCGAGCGGCGGATCAGCGGCAGAACGCGCGTCAACCTTTGGATCGGCGAGGCTCGGGAGGCGGGGTTCGGGATCTCCGAGGTGGAGAGCCCGACGATCGCCAAGCTGGACAAACTCCGTGAGAGGGATGGGGGTCGCCTGGAGCGCCGTCTGATGGAGGAGAAGCGCCGACTGGGGGTGGCCCCCCTGGACGACGCGGAGGGCGAGGCCGACAAGGAGAATCGACTCGATGTGAGCGGTGCCGAGGGGACCGTCGGCGGCAAGGGCGACGCCCGGAGAGTGGTGGATGAGAGTGTTGATGACGGGGACTCGGCCAGAGAACAGGGCTCGACGCCGGCGCCAGCCGCCGCGAAACGCTTCTTCAAGGCGCGGGCCTCCGCCGCTGATGGGACGACGTCGGGGGAGACGCAGACGCAGACCCAGACGGAAGGAACGGAGACAGCCGAGGAGGATCCCTACTTCTTCATCAGCAGTCAGCGCACGCCGCCCAAGAAGAAGAAAAAGAGGCAGCAGCGGACCGACAAGAAGACCAAGCCCTCCGCTGCCAAGAAGCTCACTGTGACGAAGAAGCCCCGGGCGGCGGGCGCCGGTCCCTCGGACGGACCGGCCGCCGATTTCGACGAGCTCGACGCGGAGGCGGCGGCCAGTCGCCGTCGCGCTCCGCCCCGCCGCGCGCGTCAGGCGGCCGTCCGTGCCGCCGAGTTCCTCGCGCTGCCCGGAGATACCACCCTCAGCCAGGAGAGCGCCGCCGACTCCGACTTCGAGCCTCCCGTGCCGAAAAAGACCCGGCGGGACGCGCCTCGCGCCACCACCCGTGTCGCCGCTAAACCGGCCCCGGTGACGCCGAAACTGCAGCTGGCGCGCGCTGAGCTCGGCACCGCCAGCCAGGAGGTACGTGTCATCCAGGAGTTATTTGATGACGCCGCGCCGCCGCCGGGTCAGGTGACGCCGCGCGGCGGCCACCGGGACACGATGACACGCGCCGAGGCGCTCAGGAAGAGCGAGGCGTCGGAGCAGGAGGAGGCGGTGACGCCCAAGTCGGTGACGTTCAGCGAGGATGTCACGGTGAAGGAGATCCCGCGGATGTGCCGGGAGGCGGCGGAGAAAGAGGGGATAGACGGGGAGGAGATGAGGGGAGTTGCGGAGGGAGAGAGGGAGACGGACCTCCCGGAACGCCCAGTTCAGACTTCACAGACGGGAGGCACCCGGTCGCCCAAACCCGGCCAGCCAGAGCCGTACACCACAAAACAAGGAACACCGAAACTACAAGCAACCCCGCGGGAGACGTCCAAGCCTCCGACGTCAAACCGTCTGTCTGCTGAGAATCCTACGGCAGCAGGGGAGAACGCTGGGGTTTCGACGGCCGCTGAAGATGACTCTCTGGCCACCGACCACCCCGGCTCCTCTCAGTGTGACCTGAGTGCCGGCGAGCTGGCAGCCGCGGGCCTGCCGCCGCCAGCCGCCGCCCGCTCGCCCGGCTGGTCGCGCCTGCCTCGTCTCAAGACCTCCTTCGGCCTGAAAGCGGAGCTGAACGTGAAGGGCGGCCGGCGCACGCCGACCAAGGAAGACCGCCACTCGGACGGGCCGCCGCCCATCGTCCCCTTCGACGCGGCCGACGACGCGCCGCCGTCCCCGACGAGCCGAATCGACGAGGAGGTGACTGCGTCGAGCGGCGACGATGTGGCGTCGGAGGGATTCACGGCGAGCCAGCCGAAGCGGATGGGGAAGAAGGTGCGACAGTATCGGGAGGCCGTGAAGGAGCTGGAGGATGAGGTGATGGCGCTAGAGACAGAGACAGAGTGCGGAGGAGGGGAGAGGGCGGGAGAGGTGGTGCCAGAGACAGAGCTGGAGATGATAGAGGACGGACCAAACTGTCCAACTGACGCTGATATGGATCGGCAGGAGGCGTCAGGCGGGGCTGTGGATTTGGCGAGTGGAGGGGGAGAACTCTCAGACGCAGAGGACGTGGTTGAATTGGAGGGCACTCCGCCGCCCCTGCTGTCGCCGCAGGAACCGCCCTCTGTCTCAGCGCCCCGACCCCGCTCCTCCCGGTCCTCTGCCCCCTCTGCCTCGGCCGGCGAGCGTCAGAAGACCCGACTCAGCTCCCGCGGAGCAGTTCCCAGCGCGGAGAGCGAGTCACTGCTCCGCGAGTCACCGCGGCCGGCTGACTCCCAGATGCCCGCCAGTGAGTCCGTGATACCCAACAGCGAGGCAGTAGCTGTCGAGCCTCCGGCCCCTGCGGAACGAACCCGCGGCCGCGGCGCGAGCGGCGAACGGATGTCTGCCTCTGAGAAAGCACCTACGGGACACAGAAGCAGGACTTCCACAGAAGCACACACGAGCCCTGGAACGAAGATCTCGCCGGTAGCATCTGTAGCGACATCGGCTGATATGTTTACAAAGGCGTCATCAGCAAAGTCAGCATCTCGAGGCTTGTCTGGGGGAACATCAGACTCCCCCACCGCGGTGTCAACCCCTACACCCTCAGCTGCGGGATCTGCGGCGCCAGTACCGGGGCCTCCAACCTCCAGAGCGGTGCCTCCCGACTCCAGAGCGGCTCCGCCCGACTCCAGGGCGGCTCCTCCACCCGGGCCGCCTCCCCCGGACTCTGAGGACTACCAGGTGGAAGTCGGCGTGCCGTCCGCCGGCCGGCGCCGCTCCGGCCGCAGTCAGTCTGGTCGGCTGTCCCGCTCCAGTCCGCGGGGGTCGGCGGCACGCGGCGCGGACAGAGACGCTGCTGAGGACGAACAGGTGAGGCGTGCGGCTGCTGCGAGATTGGAGGAATGGAAAGGGTGTTGACTGCTTGTTTGACTGTATCGCGATAATGGCTTTATTGCTGAATTTTCTTTTATATCGTAATTAATAGGGCAATGTGACATAAAAAGTCGCATATCTTAAAAAGATATGTTGGAATCAAAATGCTAAAATAGAATGTTACACTTGCGAGATCCCCCGTCTGTTGACCATCTCTCCCGTTTTCCCCAGGCGCCCGCTGCCCCGGCTGTCTCCCCGTCGGTCCGCCGGGCGGGGGCGGGGCCGGGTCGGCGGCGGGCGGTGCGGGTCCGCCGGGCGGTGCCCAGCCGCCGGCTGCTGGTCCGACTGCTGGCCGGCCAGCGGCGACTCACGGCGCTGGTCGGACGGCTGACCAGTGAACTCAGCAGGGCCAGCAGCGCGCAGACGGGACCGGCAGCGGCCGCCGGCGTGCAGGCCGTGCTGGCGGCCGTGGCGCAGGCGCAGGCGGCCACCGCGGCGCTCAGGTAAGACACATCTCATAGACAGACGTGTGGGTGTGCTGCCTCATTCTGTTTTTGCTTTAGTCATGCTGAATAATGAATGGTATTGGTTGATGAAAACGTTTAGCACGGAACACAGCCTTTATTGGTAAGTTTGAGATACTTTTTGCACGGACTTACCAGTTACCATTCGTTGGAGACGTCATGATTTATTCCGTTTTGTTGATCGATGTTTATTTTATCAGCACCTGATTGTTAAGGAAGCTTCCATTCTCAGCTTGCCTTTCTGTAACATTTTGTAAGACTTGGGTACAATACCACTGACTTTTGTCTCTGACCGTCTCGCCCGCCCCGGCGTGTTCCAGGTCTCCGTCCGCCCGTCGGTACTCCTCTGCGCGGGCGGCCGCCGGCGGCGCCTCCCTCTCTACCGTCACCCCAGCGTTCAGTCCGTCCCGCCGTCGGGAGTCCGCCCGTCGGACCACCCCCACCGCCACTGCTGGGGCGGCGGCCACACCGGATAGGAGAGAACCCAAGAAGGCAGTCGGAGAGCCATCCCCTCGACCTTCGACTCGAAAGAGCTCCGAGAGTCGTGCGGAGTCGAGTCAGACGGCTGAGAGTCAGTCGAAGAGTCGGAGTCGGTCACGGAGTCAGCCGGCGGCGGAGGTGGAGGTTGTATCAGCGGGCTTACGCCGGTCACCCAGACGTCCCCCGGCCCCCGGCGCCTCGCCCCGCACGCTGCGGACCCGGAGCAGTGCTTCCTCGGCCGTGCCACCGACTGTATCCACTCCCAGCGGCGCGGGACTGGCTCTGGAGCCTCCGCGCCGATCCGCGCGCCGCTCCCTGGCTGCTGATGTTGACGCCGAGGCTGCCCCCGCTGCTGGCGGCGCTGCTGCTGCTGATGCCGCTGCTGCTGAACGCTCGTCTGAACTTCCCGCCGGGGAAGATCTCGTGCCGCCGTCTCAGTCCTCCCCCTCGCCTCGCGGTGAGCTGAGCGCGCTGATGCGGCAGAACCCAGTCCCTGCTCCCGAGTCGGCTCCCTCCGTGGGTTTCCCTCCTGACAGTGAGGAGATAGGCCCGATGAGTGTCACACAGTTCGACCGCGTGGCCAGGGAAATGGCGGAGGAGGCTGCTCCGCCCCCGCCCCGCGATCTCTGTGACTTGGACACGGAGGAGGTGGATCAATTGATGGAGGAGCCTCCTGCGCCGCCGCCGAGAGAGACGACCGAACGGGAGAGGGATGAGAGTGAGACGGCGGCGCCACCAGCGGACCAGAGCAGTCAGGCATCAGCGCCGGGGGATGAGGCAGACACCAAGCGCCGCTCGGGCAGCGTGGGCTCGCAGAAGAGAGCCAGCTCCCCGCTGGGGTCTGCTGTGGGGAGTAAAAGGCCCCGCTCCCAGCCTGTGACCCCAGCCAGCGCCGCCAAGGGCTCCAAGGAAGATCCAGAGGTGGTGTCTGATGATGACGAAGATTTGTTGTCTGAAGGAGGCTCTCTGCAGGTGATTCAAGACGATGCGACTGGTACGAAGAAGCTTTCATCGACCGAAAGCAAGCGTCGCACGCTATCCAGTGACGCTGAACCTGAAGACGAAGCCATGGAAGATGAAGAACCCATTGAAGAGGTGGCTGAAGTCTCAGCGGGCCGCCGGAGTGCGGAGGGCAGCGGCAGGGAGCGGCCAGCCGGGACGCCGGGAGCTGGCGGCGGCAGCGGTTCCACCACCGACTCACCAGTTTGCCGCGCCCCGGGCCGACGGGCCGCCCGAATCTCAGACGATGAGGCGGAGCCTGACCCGCCCAGAGAGCTCGATGAGTTTGCCAGTGACGCAGAGGACCGCGAGGAGATCGAGCGGCTGGCCGCCATGCCGGTGGACGAGTTCATTCGCGAGATCCAGGGGGAGGTCTGCGGCGCACCGGTGGGTGAATCCACTAGGCGCCTGTCGGAGGAGGGAGAGGAAGATGGAAGACAGGACCCCCGCGGCGAGAAATCCATTACAGACAGTATACTGCAGCAGGTGGACCTCCCCCCGGCGGACGAGTCCATCTGCGAGGTGCCGGCCGACTCCAGCCTGGCCGTCTGTGAGGACGAGTCTATGGTGGAGGGCGAGATGAGGCAGTCTCGCCCCTCGGCCGGCCGCTCGCTGGGTGACATCGACCCGGACCTGGCGGGCGCGGCCGACCCGGCGCCGCCTGGCTCTCAGGATTCTCTGGCAGAGATCGTGGCGAGTAGTGGTGAAGTGGTGGCCTCTCCGGGCCGCGTGGCACACCTGGACACAGTGCTGGTGACGCCCGGGGGACGGCGGCGCTCGGCGGCGGCTGCTCATCTCACCAACTCAGCTCACTCGGCTCAGAGCTCAGCTCACTCGGCCCAGCAGTCGCCCCGGCCAGCGCGGCGCTCCGGGCGGGTCATGAGCTCTGTCAAAATGACGACCGATACCCCGACCTCCACCACCAGTAGAACGAGAAACTCTGGCGATAAGCCAACACCGCCGAGAGCAGAGACAAACCAGACGCCGACTCGGAGTAAACCAACTCCCAGAGCTGAGTCCAAGACATCACCGAGACCCGCACCGACTCCGGAGGCTGAATTGTCCGCTAAGGACCGCTTGCCGACCACCCCTGCCCAGCCGGCCCCGGAGTCGGACCTGATCCCTAGCAGCCCGGTCGGGCTGGAGGGCTCCCCGCCGCGCCGGCGCAGCGGCCTCTCGGCCAGCTCCCCGCCGCGCCGGCGCAGCGGCCTCTCAGCTCGCTCTCCGCCGCGACCGCCGGCAGCCACCAGTCCGAGCAGCGAGGACCTGCTCGTGCCGCCCGGCTTCTTCAACGAGAGTAGCATGTGTGTGCCTGCGGCTGAGACGAGCGTGCGGGATACCAGCGGGCGGGAGAGCGACACCAGCCGGGGAGGCGCGGAGCAGGCGGAGGCTACGCGTCACGAGCCGGCGAAAACGGTGAGTGTAGTTTGGATGTCCAAACTTGTGATGGGACTATTCGAATGAAGCTTCAAAAATGTACTGACAGTGCCCCGGCCGCAGGTGCCCTCTGCATTTGAAAGGGTTGTTTTCATTACTGTGTTACCTACTTGCGTTCAAAGTTGAATGTTTCGGCTCTACCGACCACGTGGTTGTGTTGTGATTTTTATCGTGCATTTCCATAAGACAAAATCGAACTTACGAAGAATGAACCCTCCTGACATCAGTCAGTGGTGGGCTTAGGGACAGCTTAATTAATAAAGTGATATGCTGACGCATTTTTCTCATTGCCTTGCAAAGTCAACATTAACCCCGCCCCTGTCTCTCTGCAGTCTCCGTCTGCCGCTGCTCCGGGTTCTGCCGCTGGTGCTGCGGGCTCTGCTGCTCCAGACCCCTCCGGTGTCCGTCGGGCGGTGCTGCCTTCCGCCGCCTCCGCCGCCTCTGACCGTACCGGCACACCCACCACCACCGCTGCTGCCGCTGGCGGAGACGCAGCAGAGGTCTCCGAGACGGAGTCTGAGGACATGTTCTCCGCCAGCCGACCCACCGAGACAGCCGCGGCCGCCGGCAGGAAAAAGGATAGGTGGGTTAGGGGCTGGGACAGCACGGGCGGCGTGTGGCTAGCCGCGTGGGGTGTGCTGCTAAACTCTGTTTGGCCTGTGTCCCGGTTGAGTGAGTTTCCGGGACAGTGTTAACCTCTTGCTTAGAATTACTTGGATAATCGTATAACGACACAATTGCCGTATCATTGGCATTTTTACGGACTAAGATGTGTAGATCAATAAACTAATTTATATATCGCATTCCTTTTCAGTATAAACGAGTGGCGAAAGCACGAATGTCACTTAGGAAACTGTGCAGTAGTCCAGAAGGTAGCCTGTTATGTAACCCCGTTTTAACCACCGGCACCCTGCTGTCCTCAGCCCACCGCCGCCGCCTCCCCGCCCGCCACCTGTGATGGTGGCCTCGGGCCTAAAGCGGCCCGAGCAGGAGGCCGCCCAGCGGCTGGCGGCCGCGCACGGCGGTCGCTTCCTGCGCCAGTGGCAGCCCGGGGTGACGCACGTGATTGTACGCACCGGGCCGCGCCTGGAGGCCGGGCGCACGCTCAAGTTTCTGCAGGGCGTGGCGGCGCGGGCCTGGCTGGTGGCGGCAGCCTGGGTGGAGGATAGCCTCGCGGCAGGACGACTGCTACCGGAGGTGAGACATAGGGAGGGTAGCCTCACTTCTCGTTGGGACTTCTGGTTCGTAGTTTGTGTTATTTTAGATCCTGTTGCACAACGATCAGATCCTCTTGATCTTGATGAACGTTGCTCGTTGCAGTTTCTAAAACATTTCTAGGGACCAGCTCATGAGAAATGAGGGAACGAGTTATCCTGATTTGCATCTTTTTGGTGAGCCCAAACAATCCTGCAGCTTCGATCTTAGACATCCGCGTCGTTGCTCGTAATTAAGCAGAAAATAAATACTTATGCTCAATTAAACAAGTAGGTATACTTTTCACCGTTACCTAGGTACCCTTTCGCTCGTTTTCACTGCCCCTCCTTCCCCTGCCCTGCGCGCCCCTTTCAGGAGGATTACGAGGCGATTGACAGCGCCACGGGCGAGCCGGGGCCGCGGCGCGCCCGCCAGACGGGCGGCGCACTGTTCGCCGACTTCACCTTTTGCTGCGTGGGGCCGTTCAGAGACGTCACGATGGAACAGCTGGAGGTGAGCCGCCCCCTGCTAGGGCTCGTTCGTGACGTCACATGCCCCCTCCAAGGGTAGTTCTGTGACGTCATTCTCGAACAGCTGGAGCTCTAGGGGCCGCCCGATCTCAGTGATCTAGCTAAAACATGTTAACTAAAATTTCCTCATTCGGTAGCGGGATTGGGTATGTAAGTGATATATTTGTTAGGACATATTCAGCAAAGCGTATTAGCAATAGAACATGGGAACTCATGCATTTCTCGGCAGTATAGCCTCCATGTACCCCTCATATAGCCTGTCTCCCTTCTCGGCCCCTGATCGAACCCCCTCCCTCCCCGTCTAATGCACCCCTATCAGTCGCTAACCGGACCCCTCTAACTCTCCCTCCCCTCCCTCAGTCTCTGACCGGACCCCTCTGACTCCCCCTCTCTCCCCCTCAGTCTCTGATTGGTCAGTCTGGCGGCGCGGTGGCCTCCTCGCCGGCGGCGCTGGCCTCGGCGCCGGGTCGGGTGCGGCTGATAGTCGCTCAGGAGGAGTGCGACCACGACTTCTCCGGCTGGCGGCGACGGCACGGCCTGCCCAGCGTCTCCTACGAGTGGCTAATCGACTGTGTGGCCACCCAGCGCCTCTGGAGCCTGCTGGATAACACCCTGTGCGGCGCCAGTGAGGCAGAGCTGAGACAGGCCGGCGTGCCGCCCGAACTGTGCCTCGCTGAGACACAGGAGACAGAGTACTTTGACTCAATGGGACTGTAGAGGTGGGCAAGGTGTGTGTGTAGCCGGTATTTTGACTCGATGGGACTGTAGAGATGGGCAAGGTGTGGAGTGAGTACTTTGACTCAATGGGTCTTAGAGGTGGGCAAGGACTTGTGGGGAGTAAGTATTCTGATTCGATGAAGCTGTGACAGGGGGACAGGCTGTATGTTGATCAAGTACTTTGCCATTGGGATGTGAAAAGCGTGTTTCAGACGCACAGATAAAATGCTTCGAGTTGATTGAAGATAAAGTAGTTGGTCGTTCAACCACACAAAATAAAAACTTTGACTTTGTATCTAGCCGTGCCACCTTTTTATCAGTGCCTGCATGCATGCGAAGTAAAAGTCATTCCAGTAATTAACCAAGTAACATAAGCTGCCTACTTTGTCGCGAGACAATGTGTGCGTAGTGGAGCATTGACTCGTGCGAGGCTGTGTCATGACTCATGTCCACGTGCCTTATCAGATCTGTTGGCTCACACCCTCAGAAGGGGACTGAAGAAGGCACATAGCGCCCAGTCAGTGGACAATCAGGCTGCTGCCTTGTAAAGTAATCTTCGCTGCCTTTGCCAGACGCTGTCTTCCCTGATGCGTAATGTAGCGTGTAGGTCGCTGTCGCAACTCGAAGTGTATCGCTCGCTAAGAGGGCATATTTCGGAGAACACCTGGGTGAAGAAATGAATCGCCTCTCAGTAATAGAAGAGCTAAGCGAGCTAAACCTCGCACTGTAGTTAACCCGGGTGAAGAAGTGAATCACCTAAGAAGATGAGACGCTCTTGTAGATGATAACGCGCTCTCGGCGTGCTGAAGTCTGTTTTTCTTCCCTTATGTAACTATTATAGTGCTGTGGAGCGCGGGAGCTCTAATAGTATTTTGTTGATGCACGAGATTTGTAGATCGTTGGCTAACGACGATACTGAACAGTGAACATAGCCGTTGGTTAACAATCGCTCTGTGAATGAACGGGTCGTGTGTATGAACAGGGTGTTTGATGTAGCATCTCTTCCTAGACTGCGCTGTGACAGTCGAAGGCAGCGGGTCTTCGCCACCATTTCGAACTGCTTCGGGCTGTTATGTAAGAAACGTATCGCTCACGTGCCATGCTACGTGCCTTCTCTACCCTGTCTTGATTAGTCTTTGTTGATCGGATGATTGTGCCTCTGAAATATACGCTAGTGTGTTTTGAGGACCGCTGTTTTTAGGATGCCGCTGTTGATAATGGTAAGGACGAGTGCACTAGCCGACGAGCCATTTTGAAGACGTCTGTGCCATTTCAGGCTGTTGCCTGTCATATAAAGTTCTAAAACTACTACCTTTGGTCCTAAATGGTGGGCCGGTGGCTTAGTTAGAATCAACATCGAGTATGTCCGCTTCAGTGATGGGCTAGGCGGGTAAAATTGCGGTACAGCCTAATTCGACTTGCGATATCACAAGACCCAGCAGCCCAGCGTGCTGACAGTTGGTGGGCCACGTGCAAAGCTGAACACTGCCAGACCGGACAGGATTCACATATGACTGTGTGCTGAGGAGGATCGGAGTAATAATTTAGTCCATAGATCCGTTGTGGCAAGGTAGCGAAAATACCTTCAACAACGTGATCTGTTTTGAAGTTATTTACTACCTACTTTGGTGCCATATCTGCTACCAAATTTTGCGCCATTTCTAAAATAAGCGGCGTTTGCGACGCAGTCAATCTTTCGCAACGATACCGTGCGTAACGGCAACGAATGGAAAGAAAAAGAAAAAATACGGAATACTGATAAGCTAAAAGATCTATAAAATATCTGTAAATAGGTTATAGGTATGTGACCTGTCGACCAGTGATTTTATATACCTTGGTGTCGACATTCTGTTACCATAAGGTGGGGCTATTTGAGACAGCATTTAAAATTGTTATAAAATAAAAATAATTTGAAATTTATGCTTAATTTTTGCTCAGGCGATTTACTGCTCGATTCCACACCTCCCTGAGCAAAAATATCACGCCAAAATCAAACGACCTCCATTTTATAGTGATTTTAAATACTGTCAAATAGCCCCACTTTACACTCAACACAACAGTATTGGTATGAAAACAGTATGAACAGTATGAAAAACATTCAATATCAATGTATCATGTATTACAGATTAAAAGTATTAAATGTATAGGGATTAAATGTATTAGAGATTAAAGTTAAGTCAATGTCATGTGATCCTAGCAGCTATATACATTTTTCTACCCATTTTTCTGCTCAAACTATGTAGTTGACTGTTGTGTTGTGTTGTGACCTTACCTTACCAAAATTCTGTATTGGTAAGGTAAGGTAAGGTGTAGCCGTAGAAATAAAGACGGCTGTTACACTTGAAGCTCGCCTCAAGCCTGAAACTGTCAACATTGTTTGTGGATGGCACTTCAAATTATCAGTTAAGAAAGCACAGTTAATTGATGATTATGACTGTCAATGTCATTTTTCCCATGACCTTTGTTGCTTATATTTTATAATTTATGCATAGTGTTTTGATATTTCCATTGCTGTTTTTTATTTCTGCAGAAATGGCCACAGCAGGTGCTGAGGACCTGCTCAGCGAGGCGCAGTTCCTGGCGCTGCAGGAGGAGAAGGAGCAGCTGATCAAGGAGCAGAAACTGCTCAACATGGACATCAGGGCCATGAAGCTGGAGATGACAAAACGCTCAGGGTGGGTCGGCTGTAATCAGTGGATGGCCTGTTCCGAGGACACTTTTATCACCAGAAACATTGCTGACTGTGGTTGAGATTATCCATAGCTGGCCATATTTTATGTATGGTTCAGGACTTCAGGTTCATATTGTAACTAAGTGATCAGTGGCTGACAACATAAATGATTAAGGACAAAATTGATTAAAAGGAGTACATTCTCCCCATGCAGCCTTTCATGTCATTTTTGTCTATTTTGGCTTCAAGTACCTACAGAATGATAGTGCAAGTTGAAAGTCATCAGCTGGATGTGCTCATGATATGTGTAAAAGGTTTAATTGGCTGAATTTTAGAGGTTGAAGCTGCAGGTGCAGCACCCCATCTGTAAAACACAAAACAGGAACAAAACTTACAATAATCATTTTGCAAGTGGCAAAGGTATGCAGTGGTGATTACTCACAAGTAGCATGCATTGTGAATAGGCAAATAATGGGTAGACAAGATGAAGTTATCCTACAACAAAGCTCAGAAATTAATTTGCCAAGTAGATACTGAGATATCAGCCTCTCAAAAGTGGGACCATGGCTGGTCGCTCATTGTTTAAAAAAATCTGTTTATCTATGGAGACTGCAGCTGCATCGCTGGTGATCATATGACCATACTTATTGTACACTGGTGTGGCGCCCTCAGCGTCCAATTCCTCTGCGGTAGTGACCCTCGCTGTCCTCTCTTGCCACCCCAGTCATGAGCCGGTGCCTGGGGAGCCGAGCTCTGGCCGCAGTGACCCTCACCATCCGACCCTTCTGCGGTAGTGACCCTCTCTGCCCTCTCCCGCCGCCCCGGCAGTGAGCCGGCGCCTGGGGGACCGCGGGCTGGCTGGTAGTGACCCTCGCTGTCCTCTCCCGCCGCCCCGGCAGTGAGCCGGCGCCGGTGGAGGCGCGCGCTGGCTGGTAGTGACCCTCGCTGTCCTCTCCCGCCACCCCAGTGAGCCGGCGCCGGTGGAGGCGCGCGCGCTGGCCGCCGAGCAGCGTCTGGCGCAGCTGTCTGCCGAGCTGACGGGTCTGCAGCTGGAGGAGGTCAGCTTCCATCTGGTCTCCGCCGAGGAGGGTGTCACCGTCACCCGCTGGAGGGTGCGCGCCGTCAGTGAAGACGCCAACGCAGAGATACTGCTCCACTACGACACCACCAAGGACGAGGTGAGTGGACAGCCCACATGAATTAATTGTGCCTTACCTCTCCAGTCGCTCACATTCTCTTAGCCTGTTCGTATCTCGAACCGAATCGGACACGCTACCTCGGCTACATCGCTCCGGCTACCACCGTCCGCTTCCTGCTGCCGGGTGACGTGTCAACCCAGGTTCTATTTATCTGGGGACATGTTTTGTTGCGTCGTTCCGGTCAACTTCTATGGGCTTTGCTCGTACTGTTTTCACGTTTTCTATTCTGTCTACTCCCATGAGTTCTCATGTCTAGTTGTTTATGACAACCCATTCGTTTTATTACCGTAATGCTGCCGGCGCAAAATCCAGTAGCCCCAAAGTGACTCAGACTGTTGATCCGCCGCTCCGCCCGGCAGCACTCTAACGTGACGTGCTCCGGTCCATATATAATATCCCAGACTTTCCCTGACCCCTGACCCGCCGCTCCGCCCGGCAGCACTCTCACGTGACGTGCTCCGGTCCATATATAATATCCTAGACTTCTGTAAAGTGTGCGTTAGTTATTCGCAATTAGTTCGTAGTCTAGTTATACCTGCGTGGTGGCTATAATTCAATTTCGCATTTTCAACGCTTATTACCTTTACTGCTCTCCGCCCGCACTCAGCTCACCGCAGCTGACCCCGCGGTCGGCCCAACGACGCGTCATAGTTTATCCATGTGTGACTCATTGTCTCCAGCCCGCCACGACGGTGCCGCTGAGTCGCGCCAGCCTGACGCCCGCCATCCGTCATTCATGCCGGCCCGCGCAGAATAGTGACCTGGTTAATGTCCACCAATGCTTCTGACGCGCTTCTTAGAACGATATCGTGCTACGCCCCCCTCAACCACGGTGCCAGCGCGTGACGATTGGCAACTCATCTGACACGTGTCTTCTGAGAGCTACCAGAGGGCCGAGGGGCGGTGACATAGTAATAACCAATCACAAGACGAGTCTCAAAGCGAAAATGTTTTAATCCAATAGCGGGCCGTCACGCAGGATAGTTTTATACTCTAGTATGTGGTAGGAACTAGGTCGGGGTGAGCCGAGCCGAGAGCTCCCCGGCAAAGGGAATGGTAGAAGACCTAGAGCCATCATCGGCGTAGGACGTGTTCTCTCTCGCTCGAGGAGACCTCCGAGCTCCACAGCCGCTGGACGCATACCATCTGCTCCGCGTGCTTGTGTAGAGAAGACCCCCGGCCGTCACCCACGCCGGACGTGTTTCTGCATCGGTCTCGACCGACACCGTAGCTGACCATCTGTTGATGTTGTTGATTTTCCCTCCGGCCGCGGGTGGCCCCGCGGCGTAGCCTCATCGGCTCTGGAGGGCCCTGAAGGCGGCCACCAGGGCCGCCACCACGTCACTGCGCCAGACCTCGTCGGGTGTTGGTAGGATGTTCCCTACGGCCGGGATTTTGAGGCGAACACCCATCAGGCCCGGGCACGTGAGCAGGATGTGCCGGGGGGTGTCCGCCTCTTCGCCGCACAGCGGGCACCGGGCGGCCTCGCATAGCAGGTCCCGGCATTGGGCGCAGGCGGCTGAGGGGCTCCGGCCGATGGAGTGCAGGAACTGGGTCGATCCACTCCAGTGGCCAGTCCGGATCTGGTGGACATCGATGGCTGTCCGCCGATCCAGGCCGGAGACCGGGGGCGGGTATCTCGTACCCATCAGCTCCCGGTACCAGCCGGTCGCCGCTCTGCGTGTCGGGTCTGGGTATGACGGTCTGTCCCTGGCCGCCTGGTCCCTGGCTAGACGGGCCGCAGCCTTGTAGACGGTGTTGACGTCGATGGAGGCGATTTCTTGATCCAGCGCCGCCGCCTCCCCCGCCAGCACGTCCGCCGCCTCGTTGCCTGGGATCCCACAATGCGATGGGACCCACTGCAGCGTCACGTGGCGGTCCGGTGTGGCGATTTCCAGCAGGCGGCTCCATATCTCCGCCCCCTGGACCGTCCTCTGGGCCGAAGGCCCCTCTCTCAGTGCAGCCAGGGCAGACTGTGAGTCGGTACAGATTATTATTGGCAATGTGTCGTCACGAGGGTGTGTCGCCAGATGTTCCAGGGTCATTGCGATGGCCAGCATCTCCGCCCTGAAGCTGGAACAGAGCGCTCCTGCGGGCCTTTTCAGCTCAGTGCGGTCATCATCGGCGTGGACGACCAGCGCGCCGGCCCCTCCACAGAGAACGCCTCCAGTCGCCGACCCGTCGGTCCACACCCAGGTCGCACATTGGGTCAGGGACGCCAGGTGGTGTAGGGCGGCTTCCTTCTTCGTGGAGGCGGCAGTTCCGGCTGGGAGCCCCGCTCCTATGTCCAGGTTAAAGCTGATCGTGCCGGTCGGT